GGCATGGAGAAATCCTGTCCTGTGCTCTAGGGTGAAGAAGCCTCCAAGGCATTTGTGTTATCTACCTAATGACCCAGGCAACCTTCCTTAGCAGCAAAACAACACTGTCTTACTCAAGAGTATTTTAAAATTTTATGTCTCTAAGGCTCACAGGTTAAACTTACACTCATTGCCTAGCAACCACAACTTACGCTGAGTAAAGGCACGCTTACCAGTTTTTCTACATGCACATGAAAGAAGACAAAGGCTGACTACAGCCCTTTTCTCTTTACTCCTAGTTAGCATAATTAAGTCACAAATGTAAATTGCTTCTCTGATAGTTTCTCTTCTCTGTGAAAAGCATAGTCATTGGAGGCTGGCTTTGCTTAACATCCTGGAGGGAAGGGTAGTGTCTAATGGAGGAGTTTTAAAGTTAATTCTTAGCAAGTTGGAGAAAAACTGGTTTTTAACTTACTAGGAGAGGGAGGGAGGAAGAGAGGGAGGGAGAGAGAGAAAAAGAAGAGAGAAGAGAAAAAGTTTTCTGCTGGTTACCCAGCTGGGCTGTTGGGACCCAGCTTCCACTGAGGAACCTTTGGGTATCTGCCAGAGAGTTGCCCTGGCCATGACCTCTCAGTTGTCCTCTCAGCTTCTGTTAGTTTTACGCAACCAGAGATGTGTCTCCAGAAAGGAATCTAGCTGCCTGTCTGACCAACATTCAGTCCCCTACACACATAAATGATGTGAACCAGGCCTTGGAGTGGGGAGAGAGAGCGAGCCAAAGGTTGAGGATTTTCTCTTAACCTACATGTGGTTTGGTCCCTTAAATGTTGTACTTGGGAAATACCTCCTTTTAGTCTAACCCAGAAGTTGGTTCTTCCCCCAGGGTCTCAGTCTCCTGAGGAAGACTATTATCTGGAACACTTAAGTGGGGGCATGCTTTCATATGTATTCTCCTGGATGGGCAAAATTTCGATGTCTCATCTGACCTAGAGATGGGGTATGTGTTCCTCATCTAAGATGACTTCCCTGTCTTGGGCACTAGCAAACAATCATTTTCTACTGGCCCAGCTTAAACGCTCTTAGTTGGAAGAGGCTGGGACAGTTTAGAGAACTTTGTCTAATCTTACATGCCTTTAAAAGGAAAGTATAAAGTGGAAGGAAGCATCAGAAATGAGATTAGAAAAAGGAAGTCTTTTCTTCTCATGCTCAGTGAGTTATTCAGACAACTTTCTCATAAGTGGTCACTCTCAGGTTGGAAAGGAGAGAATAGGGAATCTCAAGAGCTAAGATTGCCTCTCATCAGCAGATCAGACCAGAAAGGAAACTGTGGTAGAACAGGCTCACCGTTTTCTTCGAGTGTAGAGAAGGATTGGGCCAGAATGTCTCAGCGAAACCTGTCCCCCAAGTCTTAAGAAAGGTCATTGACTAACTGCCTGACAGAAGTGGTCCCATGATTTATTAATAGGCATGTATATTTTCTGAATATAAACTAGATTTCCTAAAAAAGACCCATTGTACAGCATTTTATAAATTTACCCTGAGTTAGTATCAAAGTCCACTAGGTAGTGTTCTGATATTTCTTCTTAGCAAACCACAGCAGTCAAAACAAGTCAAGCAAGGCTAAATGTAGCATACATAAGACAGGAATATAAGATCATGCCAGCAAAAGTAAAATGTCTCATCAAAGAAATATGATCTTTTCATGTTCTCAACTTAAATTTACCATCATTTTAACAAAAGATAAGAGACAACTGACGAAGGCAAGGCATAAAATTCAAAGCATGAGCAGTTAACAAAATGTTTAAAATTCAAGACATAAGCATTAACAAACAGAGATGACAATTTTGATTACTTGAGCTCCAATCCAGAATCTATAAAACAAAAGCAATTGCTTACCTCTGCCCAATTATCTCACTGGGACTTCCCAAATGATATAGGAAATGATATCAGGACCTCTGGATATGATATAAGGGATATATTATAACTCAACCTGTTAGATATCTGATACAATGAGTTCATGTTCTCTAAAATCACAGAATGGATTTTAGGAACAATGGAGGGCAAGAGTAGGAAAGAGGGATAGAAAGCTCCTCCCTGAGAGGGACAGGAGCAGATACCTGGAAGGTAGACAGACCATCCAGGGCCCCACTTCTCAGGAGAAGTTTTATAGAGCACAAGTGTGTGGGTTACAACAACATGGGTTACAGCTATGATAAACCAGTAAGATTATAAGCATAGCCATGTAGGTAATATCGATCTAATGGGGAAACAAGTCAGTCATGAGTGTGCATGGGAAGAACTTCTCGGGTAGTTGATAGATCTGGGGGTCTTGGTTGCCCACTGAGGTGACTGATTCCTCTACAGACTTTATTAGACTCTAATAATACCAATGAAATTTTATGCAGTCTTTTAGGTCCAGCTCAAATTTCATCTCCTCCTTAAAAGTTTTTCCTTTTTAATGTCTTTAAGGACTTCTGTATGATTACTCTTAAGACAAAACAAAAATTCCTTAATGGAACTCACAAGACTCTGATTTTGAGGGCCTTCCAGACTCATCCCACCCTTTGTGTCTTACTATCTTTTTATTTTCAGGAAATACCAGTTTTTTAATATGTTAGATAAGTCACTGTTGAGAAAAAACACCCCTCACAAGTAAAATTGCCTTACTGATGATTCTCCTTCAAAGAATCATTGTTTAATCAAGAGTATTTCCAAGTTCACAGATATATGAAGAAATTTAAAATACTCTGGATTACAGTTGTTTAGCTAACTGTCCCTAGAAACTCTGATGCTGGTATTTGCCAAAGTAGCTAGGTCATATGGCTAGGAATAGAGTATAATAGACTACCTTTGCCTTTCTTTATAATCCTATAGGAGCAAAGGTACTGATGGTGTACTTACAACCATTTCAGACAGAAGACGTATACACCATATTTTTGACAAATGTTTCTTCTTGTATTTCTCCTTAGACAAAATTTGTTTTGAAGCTTTTTTTTTGGTGGTGGTGGTGGGGCCTTAATTCAGTTACTGTACCAGAGACTTGATGGTATGGTGTGTGGTGGGGAAATGGAGGACACTCTAAAATATTCTCTTGGTCTTTCAGTGGGCTTGCTTCTTGGGAGCATGACTTTCACTGCTAGGCAGCCACTGCAGCCCTGAGCTATAACCCCGGCCCAGCTCCCTATCGTTTGACCATGGCATTTCCAATTTACTTAAGCATTCACTCCTTTTGACTACAGATTTTGTTGAGTCTAGAAGGTGGGAGGGCGTAGAGTTCTCTTCTCCCAGCGGGGGTAAATTTTACTACTGCCCTCCGGGGAGGTCTGCCAGACTGGAGAGCAGTCTTGTGTCAGGGAGGATTTCACATCGGTTCTTTGACCCCTCCTGCCAAGGCTGTGGGGACTTTTCTGGGACCCTTAGGTCCTCCCTCGGAGAACCATAGGCATTTTTGAAGGGAAAGGGAGTGTGTGTTGTGTGTCCATCCGTCTCCCATGCCAGTGGCCTTCAAAAGTTTGTCACGAGTCCACACTCATCCTCCAAGTCATGAAATTTACTGTTTACGTGTTCCTTTTGGTTTGTGGAAGTTGCTTGTTCTATTGTGGTAAGCCCAAGAAGTCACTGATTCTCTTCATTCTTTTGTTGGGGGGACTGCAGTGGTAATCTCAAAGCTATTACCGATCAGAGCATGTATTTTCTTGACTAAGATTTTCTATTACTGAGAACACAGAAGGCAGTAATAACAGTGAAGACACCACTGTCTCTTTGCACATAGGTTTGCGTAGCTGAAGTAAAATAAGAACTCCCATATAAGCTACACTCACTCACATGCACTAAGCACTTTGGGAGGGATTGTAGCAGGAGGATTTTGAGGAATGAATAGTTCATGCTGATAAAGGTAGGACTCAAGAATTAGCCAACAGAGGCACTGCTGGAGGACTACACAGAAAGGTTTAATTGAACTGGAGGGATCCAAAATAATCAGTACTGTTAGGCTGTGGCCAGACTACAATTTTGGAACTGAAATATTATATTCTGTGGTCAGTGTGGAGTCACCAGAAAATTGTTAAATGGATTAACAGCGAACACGAACAGTTAACTCAGTAATAGGATTGGGTAAACTCAAAGGACAGTGGAGTAGTGGGTTTGCTATCCAGATCGCGATAAAAAGGAGAACCTGAGAAAGCTGTAGCATCTTAATGACAATAAAATTAGAAATTGGTGAAGTGAAGACCAGGAGTCTAGCTTGTAACACGAACAGTTAGGGAAGCAGCCAGAACTCACGGGTGCACTAGGGCTGGAGACTGGAGCTGAGGGTCGTCTGTGTGCAGGTTAGTGAGAGCTGGAACCCAGAGGTGATCTCTTGGGAAGAACAAGAAGTAGGGTGAGAATCTTTGCGGGGCAGAAGAAAATAAATTCAGCAGTGGGACAAACAAAAAGATGATAAAACTGGAACCAAATGTAAAGGAAATTAAGGTAGAAAGTGGTTCCTTTATTTCCTCCAATGTCTGTCCCAGAGGGACAGACTCTGAACAGTGCAAATCTAACTCCTGACAGAACAGAGCTTCTTGTGTGGTTTGGTAGCAAGGGCCTGCTTCTTGTCAGAGCTGAAGCGGAACTGTTTTCCAAGCTTGAGAGATAGAAATGTTCCATAGGAAGTGGTTAGTATTTTATCAGGTAAGGGCCTTCATTTATGAGATGGTGCCCCATTCTTCAAATCTAATCAAGTAGCCAAAGTCTGTGTTGGCCATAAAATTGTGATAGCCAAATATAGCACAGAAAATTACCTTTATCTCAAAGATAACAGCAAGTGACTAACTCTGCCTTCTTCGAGTCAATATGCAACTTTCATAGTGTATTGGGATATTTATATTCATAGATATGTGCTATATGTATACATATTTAAAATACAACCAAATGCTATATACTTTGCATCGAGTGGCTTGCTGCTCACTAAAAGTGTGTGGTCAGTGTTTAAAGGAAACGCTTGGTAAATGTCTTCCATAGCAACAAGGCAGTTTTCATCAAGTTTATGAAATGTAATTTTATTAATGAACAGTAGTGCTTGTGTTACAGACACACTGTCTCCAAATAAATAAAACCCCAGCATAATTGAAAGCACACAAATACACAGTTTTACAAGGTACAATACAAAGTCAATTCTGATGATGTCTTGTATTTACTAAAAATCTAAGAAATACTATGATCAGTCTCTAAATAATCATCTGGCTGAAAGAGAAAAGTACAGACAATTACTTCATAGGTTCTGGAATGATAATTTGAGAAGATTTTGCTTTTAAAAGATACTAAGATATATCACCAATCAAATCACACCTTCTGCAACATTACACCATGGAACTGTACTTAGGTCAAAAATAAAAGCAAAGTGCCTCAAGAAGGCTGTGTTCTCTCTTTCCCAACATTACACTTATTTTTCTATTTTTGGCATGAATTATTAACCTTTTCCATTAGAAGGAAAATGTGCTCTGCAAACTCTCGGATGGCGCCACGGCCACCACTGCACTTGCAAATATATCCCACCGCCTTCTGGGCCGCAGAGCAGGCGTCAGCAGGGACGCCACTTAGGCCCGCTCTCTTCAGACATTCTTCGTCAGACACCTCGTTTCCTATGGTGCAAAAGAAAGGCTGACTGAATGGTTAGAGACCGAGACCGTCCTAGTGAAATCATACAGTAAGTAACTCTGGTAGTTAAAGATCTAAAGCACTGCATAAAGGGATACTGATGAATGATCAAATGGAACGAAACAAAAACATTTTAAAGTATAACTGAGGTCTAGGGTTTTCCCTAAGGAATCACTCATAGCAATGAGAGAGAGAATGGTGTGAGATGTACTTGCCATGTATATTACAATCACTGGAAATTCTATATATGACTTACAAATTACTTCAACTTTATATTAAGGAAAAAGTCAAACATACAGAAGAATCCAAGACTACATTATCTTTTTATAGTTGATTTTTAAAAATCAAGAGTAAAGTAAGGTCCACATATTGCACTTTGTTGATGTGTTTCTTAAATCTCCTTTAATCTATAATAGCTTTCTCTGATTTTATGTCTCACTTGTGAAAAATTATCATTTTTAAGGAAATACTGAAGCATGCTGACATTACTGCTTTTGCTCCTTCTCTGGCTCCTTTTAAAATAAAAATTTGGAGAGAATTTTCTAGTTTTTAACTTCTATGTTTTGTAGTCTTTAAAAATATTTCATAAATAATGCATATTCTGGGTAGAAACTTTTAAAAAAATACAGGCAAAAAATCATCCTCCTTATCACTGCTTATAGATAATCACATTCTGGCACATACAGTTCTACAGTATAAGCTATATAAATTATACACTTACTGCTATACAAAGGCACTGTGTTCAGGCTTTTGTAGTATCTTTGTTTTTCTTTCCAATGACCTTACAAAATTTGCTTAGTAAACTGGAAAAGTAAGTCATACAGATACTTGTTTAACATCGTATAGATAGTAAGCATAGCTGGGATTTGTTATAAGATCCATTAAAACTGTCTTTCTCTTATAAAGATTGGGTCATTCTCTAACAAATGTTTTATAGTATTTTTGTCCTGGATCAAGAGCTATTTCTGAAGTTCTCGGCCATAGATTTCTACAGTTACTGTGCCTCTCCCTTCGAGGTTCCTGTTCCTTTGCAAATACTTGTTTCTTATGTGAATGACAGTTACTGCACAACTTAGTAACTTGTCATTCTTAGCACTTAAAATATTGACATCGTTAGACTATAAACTCTAAGTACTGTAGTAAGCTTATAGCTCTGACATACTAAAATATACTTGCTTATACTAAATATATCTGCTTATTATTTATTTAAATATTAAACTTCCTGTCCCATCTGACCATGCCAGCAATAACAGAAATTGCAATTTAAAGATAAAAAAGTGTGTTTAATAATAAGAAAAAAATTCTGAACATAATTCTTATATACTAAAAACTCCAAGTGCCACCCTGATTATTCTATCAATGTCTATAATGGCCCTATGATACTATGTACACTTGGCAACATGTATGTCGGCCCAGAGGTGAGAAACTAAGTACTATCTTACCAAAACTGGCCGGTTGGCAGAGCATTCTGACTCTGTAGGATGTGCTGCTGATCTTTCCACCAGGCTACCCCCGATACATACTATCACACTAACCTCTAGAAAGGCTGTCCGAGGGAAGAGTTCCTACTTGTTTATGTCAAACCAATCTGAGAATTTTCTTTGCCATTAATCTGTCCGGAAAATAAATAAATCCAGTCTATTTTACAATGACTGAATGAAACAGTACCAACCTAGATATGCTACTTCTTTCCAGCACAGGCCCATTTCTTTTCTCCACTCATCTACAACAGCAAGCTTGTCTGATACGCCGACTTCCATTTTGCAATCCAGCTTTAAGGAGGAGAGCGTCTGCTTGGAGCAGGCCCTTTCAGAAATGAGCCTCACCTGAAGAAAAAAAAAAAGGAAAAAATCAGAAAGGAAACAGAAACCTTTCACAACAAATAAAACCTTATAAATAATCCAAATCACAAATGGGTAGTCCTCGGACATTCTGAAAGATCAGTTAACCAAAATGGCACTTTACGACAAAGCTTAGTTTATTTCTAGTAGTTCAATAAGACAAGACGTATTTTTCTATAATGGAGAACATTCTATCTATAAGTAAAAACATAGCATGCATTGCCTGATACCAATCTAAACTCAGTTTATCAAGAGGGGTCTACATAGTCTCTCTCTTGTGAGGCTCAGCAACACATATTTAAGATTTCTACTAAATTATAACTGCCTTAGCCTTCATTTAAAAAATAAACATTCAATTCTTTTGCACTAAAATTTTCATTCAGAGGAATATGCAACATTTTAAAAATCCAAAAATGCCAACACCAATTACCTAGGAAATCTTTCTTATTCCAAGATCCTATGGGAAATATTAGATAGTTCCTATTTAAAAGTAGTATATTTTTACTTATTAGACAAACAATAAAAATTCATTGTTGATTTGAAAATTCCTAATTTATTCATCTAAAAGTAAAAAGCATGAGAAACTTCTAGGCATGTGAAAGCTAAATCGTAGTCACTCTCATAGCTGACACTAAAATTTTAAATCTCTGTTTCTCTGACCCTGAATCAAAATTTTACAAAGATTATTATATTCAGGGAGCACATACCTCAATACCACTTTTCTTTAATAAACTTATCCCAATAGCATCTTTTACATCATAAGATATTATTTCTTTTTGGTCTCCTGACACATAAATGTGGCCATTGGTGAGACATCCATCAATATTGCAAACCAAAAGTTTTATCTCCTTAAGCTTCTCTTTGCCAAAATAGCCAAATCTAAAAGAAATCAAAATAGACCTTTGAGTACAAGGGCAGTATCATTCACCCCTCTCATCTGCACAACACTGGGGAAGTGAAAAACTCATTCTGTAACTAGGAAACACGCTTCAGACTTACTGCACATGCGCACTTCAACTTAGAGGGTCAGAACGTAAACCATAAAGAGTGCGGTCTATCCAGACTGTGTTTCTCAGTTTATAGAACACATCATGTGAAGGCATATTCTATACATCTTTCCCACACAAGTGAACTAATTATAAAGACGCTGAGATGTTCACGGCGCCAGGAACTGGCTCTGGAAGTATGATTAAGCATATCTGCTAATAATGTTAGGCTCTAGTGCAAAGGCTAGTGCCTTTTGTACTGTTACCTTAACACTCTTTGCTCCGCAATAGGCCAATCAATGTCCACATCTATATCCACACTGTGCTCAGCTCGCATTTCGTAGTACGCCATTTTTCCACCCTAAAGATAGTATAAAGGTTGTACTGTTTTTAACGTTCACTTACATTTATGAAAAACTTTATTATGATACAGAACAATGGATTCACTTTCTACAGTACTGAACAAATGACCTAGTAAAGTAAGTAATGTGCCACAGAAGCTTTTTTTTGGAGGAAGGCTACACAAAACAACACTAAGTTTTCAAGTTCCTTCTATCCACTGTAGGTGTCCTATTTTCTTTAAATATATTTCTACTTAAAGTTTGATAAAAAAGCAGAAATTATATCCATTCACCAGTATTCTGATCACAAGAGATTGTACGAACATCACACTCCCCCTTTCTTCCTGCAGTCTTCCCTATAATCATCCAAAAGCAGTACAATGGTTTTCTGAACTTCTGCAACCAAGAGGCAGGATGCGGGATAGGTGTGCCCCTCCACACAGAGCCCCTGGGATCCCCGAGCCAGAGAAGAGCCGACAACACTAAGGGACATGTGGGCCAAGGCAGCAGGGGCAGATCCTGCGGTACGGAGAAAGAGGAATGGCCTTTCCTCTGGAGGTACCTATTGGGATGACCAGGTCAATTACTGGAAAAATTCATTTCTCAGAATTAACTGTTAGTCTCTTCTCACATGTTGTTACGATGATAAATACCATTGTTCTGCACATGTTAGGAAGGGGTGAGACTTAAAGCCCTTTTTAGAAAAGAGCTCAGGGAAGGTAGATCTCTGTGTGAAATACAATATTCCCGAACACTCAAGCGTAAGCAAGAAATGTTTGTAGTTTGTCTGTGTATTGGCCAGAGTATAAGAAAAAACTGCTTTTCCTTCTTTTTCTCAGAGCAGGAGTCACACGAAAATTTCTGCTACAGAGTGTAGGGGTTTTTCTGTCTTGCGGTGCTGGGGGCTGAAGACAGGGACCCACATATGCTAACTATGCACTCTTCTACTGACTTACACCCCACCTCCGTTTTTTTAAAGGCGATATTTTTAGTGACATGAGAACCTAACTCTTAAATCCTGACAGCACCACAGACTAGCAGTTTTTGCCCTAAGTTAATTACTTCTTTTCCAGAGTTCCAGTTTTCTCCTCTGTAAAACTGGGATAGGAATGTCCACTTCTTTCAGCTGCTACACAGATTACATGAGACAGCCTATGCAAAGTATTCCGTACAGTCTTTGGTACATACAGGTGCTCAATAAATAACAGCTACACCTACAATTAACCAACTGCAAATATATGACCCACCCATGTAGGCTCTGAAGATGAGTGACACATTCAACTCTTTTATTTTAAAATGAACAGTGAGAATCAGAACAGATAAAATGACATCTTCCAGCGTATGTAGTTAGACAGAGTTAGAACTGGATTCTGGTATTCCCGATGCTCCGGTTGATGCCCTCTCACTCTACTATGTTGGTTATTTTCTCTTTTCAAAGTAATGGAAAGTATTCAACTATAAGGGATTACAAACAATTTTGAATGGAGTAACGTGAAAATACCAGGATACATGTAGACACTGTGTATTTGACCCATCTTTTATCTTACTGTTATGGTTGGAACAGAATTCCTTTCTGTATTTACTGAGTGGATTCCTAAAATCACTTTGGGGTAAGCCTGTGAGGGGTATATACCTCGGATGATAAAGCTTGTGAGCTACGGCCTTTCTTCAGGGGTGAGCATCTTCCCTTAGGAACTGTGTCATGCTTCTTCCCTGGAACTCAAAACAGAAGAGCCTAAAAGGATTCTGCAAAATGAATGTACTAACCTGTAAGTAACCCATCTCTATCAAATGTCTTTTAGCAAAATAAAATGAGCCATTTTCATATAATTCTCCATCCCAGTCTTGTCGACGAGGTCGTTTAGCCGGATTCAGATTCAGAGGTTCAGTCACTTCATTCACTAAAAACAAAATGTTACGGTAAGACCACACTGCTTTGAGTGAAATTTTCACTTAGGAACTTAGAAGATGAGAATGAAAATGAATTCAAAATATAGACTATTTCTGTATCTAGATAAATAAAATGACTTACAGGAACAAAATCTCTAATAACTTGACGATGTACCTTTGCTTTCCAACAACTAATAATAGTACAGAAAAAGTATTTTAGGAATATTTTTGGAATAATTATGGTTTAAAATATTAATGTAATGCTTTGGGAGAACAGCAGGGCGGCCTTAAAGTGGCATCAAGAAAATGGAACTTGTCATAAAATACGCACATTCAATATTTAGTACTGTAATCTCTCATTATCTGCATCTGTAGAAACTGCATTTCTATAAAAATATAATTTCTATAGGTGTGTTATTTATCTAATGCAGGTAAGAAATTACTTGCATGGAATTATTATAGAAAATAGTATCTGTCTTTCAAAATTTAAGTTTTTATAGTGATGGAAATGTAGACATTTTTACTAGTAGTTAAAATTACACAAACTATAGTAATGCTTATCATTATACTTGAGAATGAAGATTCAACAGTATCACCATTAATGATTATAACTTAATACATTAAGCAACAATAAAGCCTTTGGGACTGGTTTAGATTTTCATATTGTTTCCGTGACTTTCCCTTAATTTGTGTGTATGGGTGTATGTGTGCATGTGCATGCGTGTATGGGTGTTTAATAGCTGTTAATTTTTTAGAATCTTACTTTTTGACTGTCATTTCCACGTGTAAAACTTCTACAAATAACCCTTATTCATTTTCCTAATTAAACCATCTTCTGTTCCACTGTATCCTAGTATTTGATATAATCTAGGGAAAAATCTCAGCAGATATATTTTAAATATCTACAGGTAGCAGTAGCATAGTTTTATAGGCAATGGAGAGCCCATGAGCTCTAGTGATGGTTTTTTTTCTCTTTTTTGGGTACCAGAACTCGAACTCAGGACATTGCGCTTGCCAGGAAGGCGCTTGTGCCACTGAGCTATATCCCCGGCTAACGATGGTGATAGGTAAAGGACAACAAAACTACTTAATTTAAGAGGGTCAAGTCTTTCCTCCCATCAGTGGTTGCTTTCTCCCTGGAATATCTGCGGAGCACGAGGAGAAGGTAAGAAAAAGACCAAACTTGTCATGTGCAGAAGGATCTTTGTGATGGTAAGAAGAAATTAGAAGAGTTCTTCTCTCAGTTCTGGAGATCAAACCCAGAGCCTTACTAGAAGAATTTTTAATGGCCCTGTGGACTTGGGTAGCAGACTGTCATCCAAACTCAAACCTCAAGCCCAAACAAACAGAGCTGGTTCTTCCCCGACCACTGGTTCTGCTTCCAGGACTTCTGCAGTGATTTCTAACATGGCATGGAGAAGCTGGCAATGGGCTGTGGAGGACGGGGCAGCACTCAGATCTCAAAGTCCTGTTAGCAAAGGTGGGTGTGTGTCAACAATACTGCCATATAATTCTTCCGATAAGGCACCTGCCTAGAGGTGAGCTGAAATCCAGTTCAATCCAGCTCGACTCATAACTGGATCAATGTAATTAGCCCTCTCATCCTGTCACTTGACAGACGAAAGGATATGTCCCCTGCATAGGCAAACACATACCTCCAGTCTCTCTGTAAGGTACACGATAAAATAAACAATACATGAAAAAAGCAGAAACAAGTAATTCATAAGACGAAAGCAGTCATAGGTGCAGATCTATAAAGGACCCACACATTGGAGTCACTTGTCAGGAAGTTTCAAATAGCTGTTATAAATATGTTAAAGAAATTGGAGGAAAATATTTAAACAATTGATGTAAAGGTTCATTGTTTCAATAACAGCAAAAAAGGCAGGTATAAATACACCTATATCAGTGTGAGATTCTTCATTATTTCTAAAGTTGTAAAATCCCACTTCTATGTAGACTACAACAAGGTGTAAAAGTATAATCTCTAGAGCAGTGCTGTCCATTAGAAATATAATGTGAGTCATGTATGTAATTTAACATTTTCTAGTGGCTACATTTTTAAAAAGCAAAAGGAAGCAAGATTCATTTTACCATTTAGCCCAATGTATCCAAAATATTATCTTTTCAACATGTAATAAATATAAAGATTATTGAGGTATTATAATATTTCTTTCATATTAAATCTCTGAAATGCAATATGAATTTTACACTTACGGTATATTTCTCTTTGGCACCATAAAAATTTCAAGTGTTAATGTTAAAAGAGTGCTAGTGGCCACCCTACTAGACAGTTCTAGCAGAACAACTAAAAAGAAAAAAAAAAATAAAATGTTATAGATGGAGCCCAGGGATATAGCTCAGTGGCACAAGTGCCTGCCCGGCAAATGCAAGATCCTGAGTTTGATTTCCGGTACCAAAAAAAATAAATAAATAAATAAAAAAGTAAAATGTTACAGAAAATAAAGTGAAATACTTTTTAAAGTATTGACTAATCCACTTGTACTTTTAGGAAGTGATGATTTTATGCACAAGAAACAAAAAAGAATCCTAAGAAAAGCCAGTCTGGTTTAGGATAGAAACGCCACGTTGAGTAGCATTCTGTTTCACTGTGGCTTCAAGGGAATAAACAGGTCATATGAAAAGACACAACGACTGTCCCAAACGTTAACTCTTGATATTAAATGTCATTTCTTATAAACAGTCCTAATTTTCTGAATAGACATCTATAGATCTGTCAATTACCCATTTCTACCCTTTGGATATTTTAGTTTATCTAACTTTACATACAGCATGTTAACTTTAATATTCAGTTTAAATTTGGGTGTCTCTAATTTCCTTCAAAAATTTGTTTTAAGATTTACTAGATCCCTCTCCTTGATCTTATTTCTGAGATTTAGTAAATAAATTTAAAAATTTATACATGTGCCTAAAACAGAACTAAGCACATAGAAAACAATAAATGTTTACTGAATGAAATCAATGAATAAATGTATCTATTAGTATATTTTATCAGTGTCCTGGCTTTTATCTAGATGTCCCCATACAGCCTCACATGCTCACTGGTGAGGCTTTTCAGAGCTGGCTGGATCTAGGGTGTGTGATACTGGGATTAAGGGTTTGTGGTACTAAATTAGCCCATGGATTGGTTTAGCATAGTTCTGGGTGCACATAAGGGAAGGTCCATCCGGGTGGGGGTGGCACCACCCAAAAGGCTGATAGCCTAGGCAGGTAAATGGGAAAGGGAGGTTTGGTTTGCGGCTTGCCGCTTCCAGTCTGCCACACTATGGACTGTTTCTCCTCTGCGATGCTACCCTGCCTTGGAACCAGCCAACTGTGTGGTGAAATCTTTACAAACCGTGAGCTGAAATAAACCTTCCCCTGCTGAACTTGTGGGTGTCAGGTATTCTGTCTCAGCAATTAAAAAAGTAAGATAACAGTCATTATTTTCCATCCATCTTTATCCTGCTTATCTTAATGAACCTTTTTAGTTACCCTCTGCAGTTTCATTGCATCTTCCTTATTATCTCCTTTAATATGTGAGATAAACTCAAAATATATGGTGAATGTTTAAAAAATTATTACAGTAAAAGACACATTATGATTAAACCCCTGTAAAATACTCCCCCTCATTTCAAGTGCTTCCTTCTTGTCACTTTCTGAAGCAGCTGTGAAAATCCTCTTTTGTGAGGATTTTATGAGGTGCGATGAAAAAACACGGCGAATGCTGCTGCAAAGGGCCATTTTACAGAAAAACAGCCTGGTAAAACCACTACAGTATGTCCTCATCCACCTTATTCACCGGATCCGACACCGAGGACTTTTGGCTCTTCCATGAAGTCAGAATGACCATGAAAGGTAGACCCTCTGGATGATTTAGGGTATCAAGGCAGTCATGACAGCACAACTAAAGATGTTCACGAAAGAAGACTTCCAAAACTGCTTTAGAAAATGGCAAGAACATGGGATAAATGTGTTCAAAACAAGAAGGGGTATTGCGAGGGGGATTAATGGCAATGTCCCTTTTGCTGTAATAAATTTTTATTTTTATTTTTATTTTTTTTTCCCGGTACCGGGAATCGAACTCACGACCTTGTGCTTGCCAGGCAGGCGCTATGCTGCTGAGCTAAATCCCCAGCCCCTGTAATAAACTTTTAAAACTTAATCATTCACTGTAGTTTTTAATTACACCTTGCACATGTTAGACAGCAGGCAAAGCATTCAACAAATGTCAGTGAATCTAACAGAAATCACACTTCTTTTCCCTGAGGATGTTGTATTTATGTTATTCTGTTCATTACATATTTTGTTAGTTTAGCTAAAAATCAATCAGACTTCCATTAATACCTATGGAACCCTTCTTACATACAGAGTTACAAATATGAGCAGGGTAATCCACAATTTTTCTATTATTATATGATTTATATGAACCTTATCAAACAAGTCTTAAAAAGACATAAATGTATTTGATCTAAAAAAATGACATGTTTAAAGGCAAACAGAAATAGAGAATTAGAATATCAATTTAATTTCAGTCTTGCTTCAAAACAAGATTTAGAAATAATTATAAATGCAATTACCTATTGCAGTTATGAATCTAATATTCTCTGCGTTTTAGTTTACTCTTACAGACTATTTATGTGCAAAAACCTGATTTTCAGATTTAAAATAAATGATCTAAATAAAGATCTAAAATAAAGACTGATAACAGATTACCTCCCTTCTGAATTTCACTCCATCGAAACTGATGGCGTCTCACGACAGAGAAAACAGAATCATATCCTTCTTCTCGAATCATTTCTGCAACTTTCTGAAGGTCAGTAGGATGTAAACATGGAGAAGTGGCTTGAATATTTCCTACAATGTCAACCTCTTAAGAAGATAAAAGAAATAGAAAAAAAGACATTAAAACTGCTGGCAAGCAAGCAATACTAAGATCTTTCATTCAAATGCTAAATCTTGTGAAATGATAAAGTTAGAAGTTACATAAAATTCAGAATAAATGAATGAATAAACTTGTACCATTGTGATAACTAAGAAATTCTATGATGGCGTCTAGTGAGGTAGAGCTGTCTTTTGAAGTTTCAGAACTTCTTCGATGAACTTGTGCACCAAACTGTTTGGCCACATTCTCAATTTCATCATGGTCTGTTGAAACCCACACACTGTTCAGAAATTAAAAAGAAAAAAAATTAACTGGCCAAGTCACCAAAAAAAAAAAAATCAGTAACAAAAGGAGCTCCACCCTAAAATACAACTCACATAATATCAGAAAAGTTTCTATACTTTTCAAATAACGTTAAAAGTCCCAAGTAATGTAAGATGTAAAGAATTACAAAGTCCAGTAAAACCTGAGATTGAGAGTAACTTGTTCTAGAGTGTCCTGTTGGAGACCACCGCAACGTGGCTCTGAGCAGGATTTAATATTAACCAATTGGCTTTCCGTGTTCACCTGTAAATCTGTCCAAGGCCTAGGCTCCTTACCTGGAAATGGACTCATAGTAAGTGGACCTCTGTGAGTCACTAATCCCTACTAGAACCTGTAGTGGTGGATGAAGCCAGAAAGCCTCTAAGGATAAGACAAGATCACAGCCAAGGACAGCTAGATCAGATCTCAATTGGATAAAGGCATCTCATTCTTCAGTGGACTAACTTCATACCCTACTCAGAGAAGTCCTTGAGTGGGTCTGCCCTTCTTGAGTACTCCCCTCCCTTCTGATAACTAAATAAATATGGGCAACCCAGAAAAGGTCTTGGTCTTAGCCTAGAGAGCATCTTGAATTATATGAGAGGGTTTTGATCCTCCTGGGGCCCTGAAATCATTCCATTTGCCTCTTTCCATTTAGCCTTCACCATACACTCATTCAGGAGATTGCGGACCTGATCAGCCTGCAATAACAAAGGGATATTATTAATCCCATAGTGTCCTGCAAGATGAATATTTCTAATAAATTTTAACTGCCTAAATGAGCAACGTCTTGTAATACAAGTAATACATGATACTGGATATTACATGATCACAACTGAGCCAATGGTTCTCTCTACCTCTGTGACAATGGGATTGTGGGTAATTGTGTCCCAACAGCAAGAGATTATGGAGATCTCATTTTTAAAGGAGAAGGAGGAAAAAAAGGCAGAGAATCCCTCACTTCAAATGAGATTAGGGAGATATGTAAAATATGGGAAACAGTACAAAATTGTGTAGAAAATCCAAATAAAACTGCAGTAGTCCAAGGAGTTCATCTGTTTAATCACAATGCAATGTCACATTTCAGGAAACTCAACAGGAGGGAAAAGCAAGTGACACGGGATAGGTTACTTGTTAAAGATGCACGAAAAGAGAAAGATTCCATTGAGCCAATAGATAGCAGTGATACTAAAAGTCGTCCTATACAATAACCCTCCTCTCTTGTCTCCCTCACACCAGCCACAAAGGTCTGCAAAGGGAAGCACGGGTTTATTTTTCTTTATATTTTATACTTTATTGTTTTGTATTATATTGCAGTATTGTAATCTTTCATATGGATATTTTTGAGTTGTATGAAATATTTTAATATGTTTACTAAGAAAAAAAAAGGACTTGGTTTAGTCAAACCACAAAGCTGCAACAGTTTCAATTCAGAACAAAGTAAATGCCAAGGGCAATCAGATAATACTTCTTCTAAAACAATGAACAGTGGATGTGTAGACGTTTAAATACAGAGTCAATCACCATGAACTAGTTATAGCCATTGACAACCACTGGTTATAGGGACTATGACTTGATTACCTCAGGAAAGTTTAACTCTCTATTAACCCTACACAGTTGCCTATTTAGATCATAAGATAAAGACTAAGCAAAAACACTCTTTTGGAACTCTGGTCTCTACTGAAGTTTTGTTTCCTGGGCTTTCATAAATTCCCACTGCTAACAACAAAACATGTGACTATTACTCAAGCCTCAATGTTTTAATAGTGATAGTACAGTTAGAAATGACAGTGCTGAAGAAATCACTCCCTTCCACCCATTTAACTTTAAGCAGGACCCTAGGATCATTTTCCCTTCCACTGTCCTGAGAGGCAGGGATCAGTTAACAAAACCTAGGTCAATCTCTGATGCTCCATGCATGTTGGATCTCCCAGCCTGGTCCTCAGTCACCTCTACTGGCCTCCAACCTTATTAAGGGCTCATGAACAGGTACAACTCATGCATATAATTAAGATCAGTGAATTCTGGGACAGACATGTTGAGAGTCACTGAGATAACTCAATGCCGTGTCACTCACATCTAGAGTATCAGGGTGGCACCTGGGATGAGGCGCATCTCCTTTCAATTCCAAAAGTCTGATTTATCTGCGGACAGCTGCTGTGAGCAGTGTTGCACGTGCAGTGCTTCTGCCTTCCAGTCACGGCAACACCACCTTGTTTTGTGCCACATCTTTAGTCAGCGTGGACTTGACCCGAGCACAACTTCCTGAGCTCTTCACAACTACAGCTGCTTGCCAACTTCTGCGGGGTGCACATTTTGCAATTCTTTGCTCATCAGGCACAAGAGCCTGGATTATGCCTGCTGGGTTCATCACAGGCTAACAGTGATACTGTGCAAAGATATTTTAATGATTTATAGTCTTTGGTGGCAATACCCATTTTTTTTTTCCTTTTATCCCATTCATTCAATGCTTACCAAGGAAAAGTCACTTGCCATGCTCATTTGTTAAGAGTAAAACCAAAGTGAGACACTAAAGAACGTTTTCTAACATCTCTAGGTTTCATTTATTAATTTCATTTATTCCATTTAACATTTATAGAAGGGAGGGGTCATACCACCCGTCCCAGGACTTTCTTTCAAAGGAAGCCTGGTAAACAAGACCAGTTACTACCTAGGGCTCAAAGGTCTCATAGTTATCTATGTACATTACAAAACAGAGGAACCCTCCCCACTTCTTTCAGTTTGGGGTCAGATTCTTCACTGAAGAAATGTCACAGCCAAAGGTGTGTAACAAAGTACTGATGAAAATCTGGAGTATATTTGCAATAGAGAAGGTGAAGGGAGGATGGTAAGGTGATAATTAGAATATAATGAAAAGGATGAGTGGAATCAAAAGATATGGGTGTTTTGGCATCGGATTTGTATTACTTGATGTAAATTAGTAAAGACATGTATTTAATATCCTTGTTTTTACTGCACTAGAAATGTAGTATCAGAGGATTCAGTGATTTTTCCGAAGTATGTCAATGACAGGGAAGAAACCAGAGGTCTTAGAATAGGGCTGTTTGCTTTTTTTTCTGAGGTAAGATCTTACTATGTAGTTTAGGCTGGCCTTGAACTCACTATGTAACCCGGGTTAGCCTTGAATTTGTGGTGCTCCTCCTGCCTCAGCCTCCCAAAAGCTGGAACTGCAGGAATGCACCACCACGCCCAACTGTTCTACTTCCTTTCTTTTTCCACTCTCTTATTCCTGCATTCCTAAATGTTTGCTTGAGTGTCTATTCTGTCCTAGGCACTATTCTGGGCAGCGGGAACACTGTACAGCAACTGATATAGCACAGTGAGTTTTCGTGAGAGATTCTCAGCCTATCAGCAGAGACAGGCTCCACAATAATGTAATTCCTTTTACACCATTACGGAAGGAGCCCTGAGGAGTCAATTAAACAACCACACTTTTTATAATGCTTTACTTTTTACAAAGTACTTTTACAGATCTTGCTATGTAACAAGTACTTAACACACATTTGCTGAATGAATGAAACAGCAAGTCGCCAAAAGCATTAAGCACTCTAGTACAATGGAGCTGGTTGGGGCTGGGGATTTAGCTCAGCGGCACAGTGCCTGCCTGGCAAGCGCAAGGTTGTGAGTTTGGTTCCCGGTACTGGAAACCAGCCCCCCCCAAAAAATGGAGCTGGTGAAAATGGTGGGTATCTCATATGGTGTTACCAGGATTAAATATAAACTGCCTACCACACAATGCACATTTAATCAATTTAGCTATTCAAAATATTAAAGTAGTAGTAAGGTACATTTACACCTCATTTAAACATTACACTGAATCTGTTAGAAGGAAAACTGAACTTCTGTTTTGAGATTTTTCTGATGTCTACATGCTTGGTGTGTACATATCATGTTACACAATGGTACTACGATATAACAGCAATTCATATGGCTGTTTAAAACACAATGATCATCCTTATTAAAAGGATTAAGTGTAGAGTGTTCCTTTAGTTTAGGGGCATCGGATGAGATGGAAAGAAGGGAAAGAATGAGCAAGGGAACAAACTGGCCGGGTAAATTTTTAAAAATCAAGGGGAGCAAGTGTCAGTCTAAGGTCAGTGGCTCTACCCTGGAATGCAGTCCTACTACAGCCAGCAGGATGAACAGCAAGGACCAACTGTGTACCTGTGATAGCACTTTCAACTGCAAACTGCCACTTTAGAAAGACCACAGCACCAGCCTTTTGTGAATCATAAATCCACACCCTAAAATAAAACTAAAATTTGTGTTTCTTTTTCACCAATGTTATGTAAGACCTTAAAGATCAATTTGTTCTTAGGTTTACTTACATAGCAGTGAACCACTGTTGAAAAGTCAAACTCTTAAAAACGCTAGCAGTAACTGGTGCTGTAGCAAAAATTCTTCACGGAATGAAAATTTTTCTCTCAGCATTTTTCTTGACTACTAACTGTCCTAGTTAGTATGCAAAGTTTTGCAACCCTGAATAGTCTACTTAGCTTTGATTCTCAGTAGGCCAGGCAGCTCTGCCTTAATTAAGTCAGATCATGATTTTGAACAAAATAATCTCCAAAGTATCGTCTAGCTCTGAAAAATACAAATCAGGCAGCTATAATTTTCTTCAACTTCCTCCTAAGGTAAATATTTGTTGAAGAAAGCAAGCACAGGGTTGGAAGCAGGAAGGTGTTCAAAAATCCTCCTGCAGCCACAGTTAATTAGATTCAAACCAATGCATTTTAATTGAGGATCTAAAATATAAGCATTTCCTATCATTTCACAATGTCTATCATACCTCCGAGTTTTTATTAACTCTTCCAGGTTTTACACTAGTGAGACAATGAGGTGCTTGCACATGCAGGTCTCATTTATTTCACTTATGAGTATGGTCTCTAGTTGTGACCATTTACTTATAAAAGCCTCAAGTTTATCTTTCTGGGATGTGGGAAAAGAGAAGGGAAAAAAGGAGAAATTTTTTATGTATGTATATACAGGATAGTTAACATAGTTGATCTACTGTCTTCTAGTTCTTTGCTGAAAGAAACTGTCAATGAGTCCTTGATTGATCAATATTGCATGTCTGTCTTCATGAGAAACCACTTTGAAGATACCAATATGTAATACAAGCATTGTTAATTTCCTACCACTTTGTTTGTAACTCTGTACTGTCTGTACTGTTCTTTTGCTATTTTGTAAAAGGTTGTCTGTTTGTCGTTGTTTTCCTCCTTTTATTTTTAAAATAAAAAAATAAAATAAAATATAAGCGATACTGGACTGAATAAAACAGTACTTCTATGGAGCTCTTCACATCTGGGGTCTCCTGGTCTACCCCTCAGCCTGTGTTTGTAGTATTTTACCGGAACACAGAAGCATTCATTCACTGATGTATTTTTATGAAATTTCACCACATAACCCCAGAGCTGAGTAGTTTCAAGAGAAACCATATGGCCTCCAAAACCTACAACATTTACTATCAGGTCCTTTATGGAAAAGGTCTGCCCAAAGCTGAATAACAAAATAGATATATTTTTGTTAATTATTCAAGATCAAGAAATGTTAGTACTAAAAATAATTCTCAAGATCATTATTAATTTCCCATTCTACAACCAAAGGAAACTGTGGTTCATGGAAGATATGAGAAAGTCGAAAACCTCCAACACAAAGAAAAAAAATGTCAATTTAGATCATATACTATGGGCCAGGAATTATTCTATGTCCATATGTGATTGTACCTAAACCCATCAGTAAGCACGTGGACCTTTAAATCTATTTGATAGCTGAGGAGACAGAGGCATAGAAAGGTAAAGGTTACATGGTTAACACGGGGTAACTGGAATTCAGACCCACAAAGTATGACTCCAGGGCCTGACCACTTGCAGTGCTGGAACTAAGGGCACAATATTGCTACAGATGGAAAAATAAAGGCACATTATTTTTTCATTGTGGGGATCAGGAAGGGCTTCTTGGTGGATCTCTTTTATTCATTTTTTTAACTCTGGTACTGGGGATTGAGCCTGTATACTAAGTCACATCCCCAGTCCTTTTTATTTTATGAGACAGGGTCTCACTACATCACTAAACTGCCTTGGCTGGGCTCAAACTTATGATCCTTCGGCCTCAGCCTCCCAGAGTGCTGGACTACAGGGCTATACCACCAGGCCTAGCTGCACTATCTCCTGGGATAAACTTTCCAGGTCCTCAGAAGGGAGGCCCGAGAGCAAGTGAGCAAGGAACAGAGTAAAATCACTGTACGATGTGATATTATCAATCAGAGAAGGCGGACTTGGAAATACACTCCTTGTATTAGTTAAAGGAAACACCAATTTTATTTGGGCTAATTGCTACTTTTGGTATGGTGAAAGATACCCGAGATGGTGCAAAGAAATATAAAATGCTATCCGTATGGCCAAGGGGTTAATGGTCTATAGGTATGCAGTAATACTGGTACAGAGAAAGCTGGTATTTAAGTCTGCTGGGATTTTGGACACATGCATTTAAATAAGTGGAAACCAAAAACTCGTTTAATACACACCTGTATTTTCCAATCATTTCATAGCACAGTCTCCAGTGTCTGCTGTAATGGTTTTGTGTTGGGTTTTGACTCTCAGGACCTATTCTCCTCACCTGGGGTTGATCATACTTCAATTTTTCTCTTGATGAACCTGCTGTGTGCTTCAGTGGGAGTTCCGGAAGTGGAAGTAACTGCTCTGTACTAACACAAGCACTGCATTGTACCTGCCACAGTGACTGCTGAGCAGGACACCCAATGAGAATTTTGTTAAATCTCTGAGATCAGACCTTTCTAACTACCCTTCACCATGGAAGGGTATGAGAAGCACGGTCAAAACAAGGCCCAGTACTAGTGAAGGTGATAAGGAGAAGATGATAAGGAGACGGTAGACTACTGCAGTAGGACGAGTCCATCGTGAACTAAACTCAATTTCCTGAAGACCTTCTTAAAGGCTGGGCATGCCAAGGGAAAGCCCCTGAGAACCATTCAAGGGAGGTACGCCTCCTGGATTTATTAACTGGTGCTTATCTGAAGGAGAAACAAACTTCTACCTTTATGACAGGCGGCAGCAGTGCAAGTTGAAGCAAGGCACTCACCAAAGTTAGACCCTTATTTTCCCAAAGGGATTACAAAGAAGCATAAGAGTTATCAGCCAGCATGTCTGCATTTCATTCAGAACTTGGGGGCAGTATGGGTGATAGATTTACATATCAAAGGGCAAGATGTCTACAATTTAAAGCTTGTCCAAGTAATTTTTGTAAGATGGCTTTCAGTAGCCTATCAGGCCATCACCAGGTTTCCCTGGGGACAAACACTGAGTCTTCTCAAACAGGCATTTTAAGAGGACTTGGATCATCCTAGGGTCACGCCCTTAAGCTGCTAGAGGCCATGATAGAGTTCAGTCAAGTCTCTTGGTGCAAAGATTTGGACAAAGCCATTATATGTCCCCAGAGTTTTGCAGTTCTTAGTTCAAGTACAATCACGTCAACACCATAAATACAAAGCCTATCCACAACCAAAAAACTGGAAGATCTGGTGGCAGTGTACACCATCCTCTTATCCGACTATATTTTTCTCAAAATCAGTCTCACCACCTGACATAATATATATTTTTGTATATTGCCTGTCCTTATTACAATACAAGCATCATGATACTAAGCGGATGTTTTACCGTACTCACCTAATAATTAGCCAATTAAAAATAAAAACCTTACCTGAAAAGAATAAGGGGAAACATTAAAGAACAAACACGTCATACGACGTTCTAACCAGTAATCTTTCTGCAGCCAAATAGGGACCAGGAACCCTTGGAATGTCCATCCAGTGACTTATGAACATCAAAACTATGCCAAAAGGGATTGATGACAATTTTCTCCAAGAATGATGACAATTTTCTCCAAGAATGACCATCCCAGTTCCTACCTGGCTGTCGCTAAAACTAAATCCCCCAGAAATCCCATATAAGCTTTTTCCTTGTGACCCCTGACGAGATGGAATTTAGGGGAAATATCCTTCATTTTCTACCTGCCAGCTTGCTGACAAGGAAACTTTCTTCTGTTACTCTTGTCTTGTGAATTATTGGCTTAACTGGACAGCAGGAGAACCAGACTTTCCACTTACACAAGGAAATCTGGTGTGACATGTAGTTTGGGACACAACAGTTTCTGTCACCTAACAGGTAGTGTCACATAATTTGCTGAATGAAAGACTGATCTTTTGTCCTTTAATCTAATTATTCTACTGACCCATGACCTACTTTTCTGTTAACCCATTTCAAAGTGGTTTCCAAAAATTTGCAACCGCAAGCATGGCCAAATGAGTTTTTCCTCCATCTACTGTGCATGTGATTTCAGTCTTTAGTTCACCTCACAAAAATGAAATCTTACTGTAACACTGTGGCGTGGATGTGCCTACTTCTCTTTCAGCCTGTACCCTTTCTAAGAAGGTAAAAAATATCCAAAAATCTGTGAGCTTCAGGAAGACAAGGACCACCTTACGCTCACCTTGGTATTCCCTTACTATGTAAGGCAGAAACTGGGGCTCAGAAAATGTTGACCACGCTGAACACCCCCACCCCGTCCTTTCCTATCTCTCTTTAGCACATTTCCTGTTACATTTGTGTTTTTTTCTGAGTGACGGTTCCTATCGCCTGGCTCCGCCCCGAGCTTCCTTTTGATTAAAATATGTAAATTTATACTTTTTAAAAACAAAATTGGTCACCTACATAATAATATGGATAATAATGGGACACTAATATCATCAACTAAAAAAAGAAAAACTCATCAACATAAAAAAACAAGACATCAAGAGATTAATTTCCAAAGTAACAACAAATTCAGATGTACTTAAGTTGCAGCTACTATTTGTAAATTCAGTCTCGGCAACGAATTTTACCACCCTTCTTTGATAAATGCCATCAGCTTGTAACTCCTGACCAATCTGGCAATGGTAATGTCTCTAAACGGTGCACAAATAAAACTGCCCTTAGAACAGACAAAGTTCAAGAGAGATGATAAACCCAGCCAGGTACAAACATTATAAAACAGCAGCTGTTACTCGCCACCGCCTCTCACATCTTTCCAAATGCAGGGCGCTTTCTGGATTGTGCTGACTCACAGGCAGATAGCTAGATTATTTTTCAAAGGTTAGGAAAGGATCTCCAAGCTGAGCTTAAAACTGGAAAGCCCGGGCACAGACTCCATTCCTGAACCCGAGGCCTTCCCCATGGATTAGCACCGAGCTGTCCCCAGAGGGTGAGCAACAGGAAGGCCCGGAGGACTCCGTGAAGGCGTTCCAGCATCACAGGCTTTGCACTGGGACGGCCTCCTCCGGTGTTGCCCGGGGGGCCCACCTGGGCGGAGGTGACAGGTAGAGGTGATCTCGCCTTTTAAGCATGGCATTTTCAAGGGCGAGACAGAACTGTTTCAGGTCAGAGCTGTTAGCAGCTACGGAAGAAGGAAGGGGCTGGAGCCCGCCCGCCCTCCCTCTGCGCTCTCCGCCCGGCCCCGACACCCCGAGCCTGCAGGCGCCGGGAGCAGCGATCGCGCCCTCCCGGAGCGGCGCCCGGCGCGCGGGTCCGACCCCAGCCCAGGCCGCGACGCCCCGCTTTGCTCGCACATGCGCACCTCTGGAAGACCCCCGAGTCCAGGGCCGCCCGCAGGACCCAGCCAATGAGCGGGACCCCCGCCAGGTGCTTAATGTTCTTCAGGGGGATGCCTTTGCTGCCGCCCCGGGCCAGGATCAGGGCCGCCAGGTGCGGGGGCTTCTCCACGCCTCGGCCCTGGCCGCCGCGGGAGTTGCGCTGCAGCTTCGGCGGCCGACCTCGGGACGGCCGCCCCCGCGGGTTGGAGACGGAGGTGGCGGCCCCCTTCTCCACCGAGTCCATCTTCCTCCCACGCCTTCTCCCCAGCTTCTCCACATCCGGGAGCTAGTCCCCCGCCAACTCAGCCCGGCGCCTCCCGCTCTCCGCCAGACCGCTCCCGCGGCGGCTGCTCCTCCCGCTGCCCCACCCCTCGCGGGGCACGCCGGGAACTGTAGTCACCCCGCACTGCCCCTCGCAGGGCACGCCGGGAATTGTAGTCCTCCCCCCAATAGTAGGCGGCTCCCAGTGCGTTGGCTTCTCAGAGGATAAAATACCTTGTCAGTTCTCGGCCTTGCTGAGAGATCAGAATAAGCCTTTGCTGTTTGGCCGCTGGCAGAGGCACGACACCCTTCCATCTCTATGTGGCGGTTCCTGGGACTGTTTCTGGGAGAAGATGCTTCCCGCAGTTGGGAGGAGAACGGACAAGACATCAGCATAACGTCTGGAGAATGGAGCAGGCTCTGGGAACCATCCCAGCTCGAAGCCTTGCGGGTCAAGTGGGAAACCTGCCCTCCACCCGGCTCTTGCAAGAGGACCTTTGCTGTTGTGTTGCAGAGACAAGGACACTGAGCTTTGGGTCCTCATGTGAAGAGAACATGTGCTGCTTCCTACACACTGGGGGAAACCCCTTCTTCTTTTCCACCCCAGGAGCAGTCTCAGTCCCCACCTGCCATTTAGTTGCCATTCTCTGCATTCTGAAGAGGCCCCTAAACATGGACTTTCGATGCCTGAGTAGTTTGTCTCCCTGGGCACATGGCATCTTCTAAGGTGGGGACACAGCAAGTGACACCGGTGTCAACTTATCAAATGAGATTACAGCAATTTACATAAATGACACAGGACCGCAGATGACTCCTAGAGCAGGCCTGATCTTTCTTTGTAATCTTGTCATCTAGAAAATGCATGGGCCTTAGTATTTGCTCAAAAACATTGTTGAACTGTGTCTTACGTCTTTTCCAGCCTCTGCCCATGGAGTTGTGAGGCTCTCTTATCTAGTTGTGATCTTATGATAGTAAAGCCTTTTCCATTCTTTGTAATGTTACGGTACAGTATTTGTTGGAGTTGACAAGTGACTAATCTTAACTTCAAGGGGGTAAGAAGAGAAAGAGATAAAGAGGTAATGGTAGTAAAAGAGGAAGGTGATTAATCTAGTTTGATATATGGTTATAGAGATTTGGTGCACTTTTTTTCTCCCACTAAAATGGGAATATATTCATTTAAAATATTTTTCTTGAGTCTAAAGAGAGAATGACTGTGCCAGGGAGAGGAAGTGATATTATGTCTTTGTCTTTGGACTATAAAATAAACCTCTCTCAAAGCAGATATCCAGTCATCCTTCCTTTAATATGAGGAGCTTAAGTATGAGAAGTTGTTATGGTTTGTGTCTGAATATCCCCCCAAAGCCTAATTCAGTCATGGAGGGGCTTCTAGAGTTTTTTGATCCATGGTTCAATGCTGGGATTACGGGTGAGAGTGCTACCCCAGAGCCCTGGGGCAGATAGTTTGCATATGTAAGGGAGAGAAAGAAGCGGCTTGCTTCTAGAGTTTATGATTGATCCATGATCCAATGCTGGGATTATGGATGTGAGTACTACACTGCCCTGGGGCAGGTAGTTTGCATATGTAAGGGAGAGAAAGAGGCTGCCTGCCGCCACTGCTCCCTTTTGTTCTAGCTGCTTTTGCTGTCTTCTGCCACCATGAACAGTTGCCCTCTGCCGTGTGCCACTCTGCCTCGGAGCCAACCAAGTATGGACTAAAACTTCCACAAACTGTGAGCTAAATAAACCGTTCCTTCCTTAATATTGGGTGTCAGGTATTTTGTCTCAGCAAGGAGAGAAAAGTAACTAAGACAGAAGTGTCACTGCCAAATAATTTGTTCATATTTGTAGTGAAAGAGTGTATTTTTACGATTTTTCTTTTTTATGATTCCATATATGATCAAATTCAGTTCATAGGAGGAGTCCATTCACTCACTCACTCATTCATTCATTCATTCATTCATTCACATTTATTGCATTGCAAAAGCCACTCTTCCAAACTACTTCCTGAAAGGAGGCCCACGGAGAGCTCCATGGCTCCCCGCACATCTTCTGTAGATGCATTAAGGCTGGAACAGGGAGGGAATTGTTGCAAGTGGAAATAGAGATGCAGGGGTTTCTCTCGAGATCAGAGAATGAAGACGGTGTGTACTCTGACCAAATGTTTGTCCTCAGATGTTGCCTTGGGTGGAAGATAGCTCTAATCTCAGGTCACACAGAGTGCAGTCAACAGGGGCCAGCTTCATTCCAGAAGGACTCCATGATGGGAGCAATGAGGTTCCAACAGAAGTGAGTTCCTGGGGGGGATATCCCTCAGTAGCCCAGGTCCCAGATCACCTGCACTCTCCTGCTGTGTAGAGGAGTAGGCCTGCATGATACTGTTCCTTTCAGGTGTGTAGGCATCGTGACCTCAGGAGAAAGCCAGCGATACTAGAGTGCCTGTTATGTTTTGTGTCTGGGTGTCCTGCCAAAGCCTGATGCGGTCTTGGGGTGGGCTTTCAGAATTTGATTGATTATGAGTGTGAGAGATACACCCTCCCTTGGG